TTTTAAAAAAAATTTACTATGTTAGGGGGTAAAAGTACTCTAAACTGTATAAATTCAATTGAATAAAATTGACCAATCACGAGAAAGTCTTCCTATATCGTGCTACTACACTGTAAACATCACACTTAGAAAATCATTTGACGATCGTCACATGGCATAACAGTGGCACAGATTCACCTATTACTATTGCTTACATAATCCATTGTTGTACAACGTATGCATATAAATAACGCATTGATTATTCCCACCAATAAACTTTTCTCAAAAACAGGTCAAAAATGTCTTATTCGGACGACCGTAAAGAAGATAACAAAAGATGGAGCGGTAATGGTAGTAGTAGTAGTAGTGCAGACAAATTTTCCGCAAGACTTTATGTAGGTCAGTTGAGCAGAAGTATAAAAATGATACTTCACATATATTTCTAAATCGTAGAGATTTGCGAAAGTTAGAAACAAATATTTTATAATACCTCATAAAATATTTGCAGGACGCCTTTCCAGATCTGTTACGGAACGTGACATCGACGAGGCTTTTGGAAAATTTGGAAGAATTCGTGAAGTTGATGTAAGCCCAATTAATTATTACGACTTTTTTCTAGAGAGTGATAAATTTATTTAATATATAATATTATAACATTTATTTTTTAATTTCTATTACTTCTCAGATGAAGGTGAATTTATTTTCTATAAAAATATGAGTATTATATCTGTTCGCAAAAATATTTGTTTTTAATGGTAGAAAAAAAACTTTTCAGATCGGCTTTTGCTTTGTACAATTCGACGATCCGAGAGACGCAGATGATGCGATGAGGTGAGGAGCTCTAAAAAGGAGAACGATGATGCAGCAGTCGGCGGAGATAGGCGTAACGCGGGGCTGCGACGTATTGTTTTCTGTTTGGTGCATTCAGTTCGAGAAAAAAAAAAAAAGACGGTGTCGCAGGAAAAAAATAAATAAATAATAAAGAAATAAAAATAAAATGAAAAAAAATAAGAAAAAAAAAAAAAAACATATATATATATCCGTCTGATGGTGCGAGGCAAGAGGAGTCGATGGTGTCAACGGTGTATCGCCGAGGCAGCAGACTCAAGTTTTAACACAGTATCAATTCAGGGCGTTGGACGGTAGTCGTATCCCAGGAAATGATGATAGAATATTAGTGGAATTTGCAAGAGGTGAGATTATTTTAATTAATTAATAATTTGATTTTATTTTGTATTGTATGTTTAAATGTTTTTATTTCTGAATAGGTAGTACTTGGCGTGGAGCTCGTGAAAGTCGTCATGGAAGTGGTCGTAGTTATGATGGGCGACCACCAGAAAGATGCTTTAATTGTGGACAAATTGGTATGTATATGTTGACAGTCCTTATATGTAGTGTTTGGAACTAAATTACTTTTTTATATAATAATCGGATTCCAAATTCTATTTGCGTTTTCAATTTTAACTAATTTATTATTTTTGCATTATTAAATATTTAAAGGTCACTGGTAAAATGAAATACCCTAAATTTGTTGATTACATTTATTTGTTATTTTTTGACTTATATTTATTTATTTTTTTAGGGCTAGAGATTGGTAAGTCGTGATAATAAAGTTTGAGTTTGATATAGTTGTTTTTATTTGTTTTTATGTATTCCTTATCATCTCATTTAACTCTTTCAAATTTGGGCATTAGTCCAGAACCGCCGGGAAGGTAGGGACAAATGTAACTGACCGCTATACGATTGTTTTTTTTTTTGCTCATTTATTTCATTCGTGGTCTTTGACATTTTAAACATTAAGTGGCGAACGCTCTCGTAGGTATGGATCGAAGGAAATGTAATCCTCAATGTATTCATAAATCATTGACTAATAATTTGAAACTTTGCATTTTATATTAATTATCGTTAGATACGAAGAAAACCGATGTTTGTGAGTTGTATATCGCTAAATATTTAATATGTTGTGATCACAGATGTCCTCAACACTATGATTTTGAATACTTCATTATCTCTAGTACCTGTGGGCAACCTGGGCACCGTGCCAGGAATTGTGTAAGGTATGGATGTATTTTCTATCTCGGAATTTCATTTGATTGGTTATTAACATCAAATGCTACACATTTTATTAAAGATATGGGTCTGGTGGATACCGCGGAAGATCCTACTCTCCATATCGTCGTTCTCGCTCTCGTTCTTCCCGCCGTTCTCGATCACCTCGTCGTTCTCGTTCACCCCGACGTTCTCGTTCACCCCGACGTTCCCGTTCACCCCGTCGTTCCCGTTCACCCCGTCGCTCTCGTTCACCCCGTCGTTCCCGTTCACCCCGCCGTTCCCGTTCGCGCTCACCATATCGGCACTCTGACCGCAAGGATCGAGATAGAGATCGAGATTAGGATTGCGACCCAAGTCTTTTTTTTTTTGAATTATGACATTACTACATAGTTTTGGTTTGGAAAAAATTGAGATTTCTACATCATTTTGGATAATAATCAAAACTTCCTGTTTTTAGTCAATAGTGTCAAACTCAAAAACCAATCAAATTTGTTATATCAGGGTTATAAATTACTAAAATTTTTGTTATTTTCATTTTCAGATTAAAAATTAAGTGATTTAACTATTAAACAGGATATGTTTAATAAAAACGATAATTGGGTCTACTAATTATATCGAATATGTGGAATAATAAAAGACAGTTATAAAAACGAGAGTTCCTTCAAAATCGATATCTTATGGTTATAGTCCTCTATCTTCTATCGTTGATTAACTCGTAATTAAGAATTACTCGTGAAGTGGAAGAATTATGATCCAATTCCCTATGATCAGAATTCTAATGAAACACTTCCGCATGATAATTGAAACCAAAAAAGGAGTACTATAGCATAATATGGCAGTAAATTAATATGGATATTTGAAACAGTTTAAAATTGTCAATCATGACGTTTATAATCACTGTTTTAGTTTTGTCACATAATTTAATACAGGATTGGTACAGATTAATCAAAAAGATTAGATATTTCTAAATGCAACTCGTCAGAACTAACTTTAAATAATATGCATTTAGAAATAAGAAAATTGTATTATAAAATCAAAATATACTTGGTTGTTTTAGAAAGAATGAACAATTTCCAAAATTCCGGGTCAGAATGCATTAGAGTTTGGCCGGACTATATAGCAGAATAATTGGTTAGATATTATAACAAATAGCTTTAGTAATCTTGGACAAAATTAATCAATTTCGGCCTGGCTGGCCATGGAATTTGGGATTTTTCTGTATAAGTTTTTTTTGGCCAATAAAACAAATAGTATAAAGTCAAGATTGGTATTTTTGCAAAGTGTTAAAAATTGATAAAAAAAAAATAAAATAACAAGATCTGATCTAAGTAATACAAGATATTAATTTCAATAGACTTGTATGTATTTAAAAAGTGTATATACACTTATAGAGAATGCATTTACAGATTTTATATATTATACATAATTTTTTAAAAATACAATATGTTAGTTTAGAAATATTTTTTTAAAAATTTTATATAAAAATTTTTTCAAAAATTTCACATATATAATATAATAGTTAAAATTACTTTTAATCTAAAATTTTTAAAAATTTATTTATTTATTTATTATTATTATTATTTTTGTATTTAGCAAAATTTATTTTAAAAAAAATATTTTAAGCCAATTATTTATTTAAAAAGTATCTGTAAGCTGTACTAAATTTAGTACAAAATACTTAATTTAATACAGATTTAAAATGGTGAATAAACAATAAATGTGACCAACTGTCACCTGAAAATTTATGTAATATATTTATAATAGTACAGTTAGAGAATATAGCAAATAAAGGCAAAGGGTTAGGGTCCTGTAGCCTAGTGGTCTAGGTGCCTAACCCTCCACAGACAAGGTCAATGGTTTGATTATAGCTAGTGATAATTAATTTAATTAATTATCTCTGTAACCTTCGGAAGCTTTCAAATGTGGAACCCTGTGGTGGTAAGATCATGTGATATATATATTTGGCCTATAAAGAATTCTTGAAAGGAGTCCCGAGCTATGGAGAAGATTGAGCACTATGTGTGACATGAGTTACAGAAGGTTTATTGCAGAAGGCTGTGCGTGTGAATCCACAATTGGCAAGGTAGCACCAACAACTCTAAGGTGGCATTGGGATCTTGATTAGGAGGATAGCTGTATGTGGTATTTCCAGAAGTGGTGAGAGAAGTAGTGAACATAGTAAGAGGCTGTGGTATAAGGATGGCTTTATTAAATATAAAACACCTCTGATGCAAAGAAACAATGAAAACTGGTTAAAAGAAACTCCAAAAAGCATGAAAGCAAGCGATCCAGTAGTACAAAAATAAAGACAGGCTAGGGAGTAATAGTCACACAACCTACATAGAAGTCTATGATGAAATATGGCAAAAGTGCGGGTCCCAGGTTACTGGCTTGTAACAGTGATTAAATGAGGTACATAACTTCCGTCCTAAGGATTTAGACTTTTGTAACACTATACCAATAGGGAGTACTATAAAAGGATCGGTAGCCTAATTTGGTGGTGTACGACGTGAATACTTGGATCGACGTGAAATATCATCCTAGTTTGGCAACTTAACTGTTTGAGATACAGCTAAGCCTATAAAGTAACTCCTCTAGGGACACCAAACTGAAAGCACGAAGAGCACTTACTCGAAGGACACTAATTTGGAAGTAATACAAGTATCGAATTAGGAGTAATGTGATAAGTGATAAGTGATAGAAGTTGGTTGGTGGACATTGTACAGTAGTATATAAGTGGGATATATATGATAAAAATAGGTTTGGGAACTATCCAGTGATTTAGTAATTGGTCTGGTTGCAGGGCGGTTATTAAGGAGGTAAAATTTCATAGAGCAGGTCGCATATAGATACTAAGTTAGTAACCGGGTAAGCCAATATCTTGTAATATATTAGAGTGTTGTAATTGTACATATGACATTTATAACCAAAATACCTTAGTATACTAATAAATGGTATTGGCAAAACTACCAAATTTAAAAAAAAAAATAAATAAATAAATAAATAAATATAATTATAATAATAACTAATACTAAATAAA